TAGTACCAGGAGAGAAGCGGCGCACCGTACTGCACCGTCTGCTGAAAGCAGTATGGCATCTGCACGCCAAAAAGGCGCGAAACAATGTCTGCCATAGCTTTCACGGAGGGAGGAGCGACTGACAACACACACCCAAAAACACCCGCGAGAATGTTTTTGCCCCGTCATGCACTGGGAGCTTAACCCAATATTCCAATGGGCGGTGGGGACTGCGGGAACTGTGGGATAGCTTCCCACAGTGCACCACTCCTACATTCGATGCTAGCCTCGGTACTGTGGACGCACCCCGCCGAATTCAAGCACTTTAGTGGGGACACACAAGACCGAATGTATAAAATCGCTTCCAAAAATTCGAATAGAATAATTTCGAAATAATTTTGTACTGTAGACGTACCCTAAGGCCCAGATTTTCCTCTGCAGTTTGACCACTCGGCATCACATTATTGGAGGATGTTGAACCTAAGCAGATGGAGGTGACCCTGGGAAGATCACTTCAGCGTAAGGGATCCTCTGGTGGCTTTGAGATTCCTAAACTACCACCTCTTCCAGCAGCTAGCATAGGGGGCATGTTCAGTGAAAAGGAGGTATATGATTGGTTTCCCTGCACTCTGGCAGTCCTCAGCTGCCATATTGACCCCTTGGGACTGCTAACAGCTGGCACAAATTAAAGCAATGCCGGAAGAGGGAGCACAAGGAGGGTATAAAGACCTCTTTTCACACACTCCCAAATTGTACTGTGTGCTCCTCAGCCAAAGCCAAGGATCTGGACTCTGGATCTAAATCCAGCTGTCACAATCTGGTGAGGGGGGAGTGGTTCTGATGCAGAGTTTTGGATCAGGGCAATTCCATAATATTTACAATTTAAAAACCAATGTTACCTGGGAATATGGGGACACATTTAGCTTGCCTTTATTTATCTCTAATGTATGGTAGTTGCATAGTGCAGCTTTCCTCCCCAGTTTACATGAGTATGCCAAATTCAAGCAGTAGTTTTTCTGCTTAGGTCTGCTCTTTCTATACACAGTTTAGATATTTACCAGCTTCGTACATCCTCAGTGAGAGCTGTCAAGGAGAGGCTTGCCTGCCCCTCACTTCCCGGGGCTGGGGCCCGACTTCGGCCCCTCTTCCCTGGGGACCAAAGAGCACTGGGATGCTGCATATGAAAGTGAATTACAGATTTTTCAGGAGAGTGGAGATGCTGGGGAAATTTGGTTTGGAGACGAAAGCATGATTCGTTTAATCAGATGGATGGAAAAACAAAAGATCCCTCTGGACAGCTCTGTGCTTGACATTGGAACTGGAAATGGTGTTTTACTTGTTGAATTGGCAAAATGTGGTTACACTAATCTCACTGGAATTGATTACTCTCCTTCTGCAATACAACTGATTGTTCCCAGGGAGGATTGGAAGCTGTTTGAATTTCTGATGGAGGTATTGTTTGAATTGGAAAGGGTCCTGGCTGCAGATTTACAAGGCATCCAGGCACTGATTTATAGAGCAGAGAATATTTTCACAGCCAAAGTTCTAGTAGATGGAAATTTCACTTTGAAAAAACTAAACTCCCCTGGATTTTAGGGAATCCAGCAAAATATGTGAAAAGCCACAAAATGTGCATACTGTTCATGATTATGGATCTCTACCAATCAGACCTCATATGGTAGATACTCAGCTTCAAGGAGAATAGTTTGTTTTCCAGTCTGAATTTAAGCAAAACAGATTTTAAAAAATTAAAGGAGATTCCGATGGATTTCCTTTGTGAAAATCCAAATGGGAAAAGGAAGAGGGGAATGACATCATTACCCTAAACAGTAAGCAGCAAGAGCAGGGTATTTTTAAACTGTATCCTGAGGTGTTAAGAGAAAATCACTTTGGGTAATTCTGACTTTCATTCTTAAAGTATAGTATTTTACAGAAAATGAATGTTCCTTTTAAACTCACCTGCTCCAAGATCATAGAAATAAACCACTTCAGAGTGCTTCATTTAATTGTTTCTCTGAATGAAAATGTTCTGTTTTAATGCAGAATGCATGCTGTCTTTTAAGTAATTTCTATGAACAGTGCAGTAATACCCACTTAGAAAAAATACCTACCAGAGCCATTTGCACTGTAGCAAACCAAGCATGAATTGAACAATCAAGGTCATAATTCCTATTAAAGGACTAACTTGTCTAATATGTAATTATTCTGTGCAGTATATTTGTATTTTATTTTTATCATTTTATTGGACAGGCAGGGTTGATTGTTGTTTATCTGAAATACATGAAAAAGATTCACAACTAAACTGGCAGGTATAGAGAATTTTTAGACAGGGAAATGCCATTTGGTGTAACCACCCTGTGCTCTTTAGGATTATTTTAACTCGGCTTGCTAGGTAGTAATTGTATTGTCTGTGCCTAGAAATACTTAGCTGTGTCTTAGGTCTTCTCTCCGCTACACAGTTTTGTTGACAAAAGTCAGGTTTCGTCGACAAAACAGTGATGGTGTACACACTGCAATGCTCCTTCTGCCAACAAAATAAACCCACCTCGACAAGATGCGTAGAGCTTTTTGTGGCAAATTTATATCGACAAAGTGTTAGTGTAGACCCCGTGCTTGATTATGTCGCTCAGATGGCCTCCAGGAGGTGTCCCACAATGCCCATCCTGACTGCTCTAGTCAGCAGTTCAGACTCTGCTGTCCTGCACCCATGTACACAGACATTCGCCCCTCCTCTTTTAAAGGCCCGAGAATTTTTGAAATTCCACTTCCTGTTTGCTCTGTGTTGAACGTTCACGTTGCATCTTCCCAGCTGACCCTGGCACACAGTAAACTCTCTCTGGCTTGGAGCACACCTGAGTTGTTGGATCTGCTGGTATTGTGGGGAGAGGAGGCTGCCCAGTCCCAGCCCTACTCCAGCCATAGGAACTTTGATATCTATGTCAGACTTCTTCTGGCTGTTGGAAAAGGGCTACAAACAGATCATGCATCAGTGACATGCGAAGAAAAAGGAGCTGAGGCAGGCATACCAGAAGGCAAGGGAGGCAAACCTTCGCTCTGGTGCTGTGCCAAAGACCTGCCACTTCAGTAAGGAGCTAGATGCCATCCTTGGTGGCAACCCCATCTCCACCACCAAGAGCCCCATGGTGGTGGAGATGGGGTTGATCCCAGGATTGCAGTAACTTTCTTCACAGCCGTATCACATTGGCAGCTCATAGTCAACCTGTGATCAGCCAGTACACCCAAGTCTTTCTTCTCCTCTGTTGCTTCCAACTAAGTCCCCAGCTTATAGCAAAAATTCTTGTTGTTAGTCCCTAAGTGCATGACCATGCACTTTGCACAATTAAATTTCATCCCATTTCTATTACTCCAGTTTTCAAGGTTATCCAGACCCTTTTTTATGATATTCTGTTCCTCCTAAGTATTGGCAATACCTCTCAATTTTGTGTCATTCACACAGATCTGGATCAGCACAAAATTACATCACTGCCAAGCCAGCTTAAGTACACAGAGCGGGGCACTAGGAGAGATGGCGCCAAGACTCCACCAGTTCCTCACCTGTTCCCACCCACCTTCCTCAAAGGAGACAGAATGGGCGTCCAGCATCTGCTTACTCCTCAGCATTCAGGCCCAAGTTCCATGTAGCTCACACTGTAGCGTATGGGTGTTTCTCACACCTCTGCATGGGCATGTAGTCCAAGTCACATTCTAGCCCAACGTATTTAAGGCATATTAACAACCTGTGCAATAGACACATGCATTACTGCATGATTGTTAAATCATTACATATTGTGTAAATTATCCTTTGATATCCACTGAAGATTCAATAATGTTTACAGTTAGATGTCTGGGATATTCCTAGATGTTCAGTCTCTCTTTAGATATTAGAAGACTGTTATTTGCTAAATGAAAGGCAAATCATTAAGGGAAACCTACTTGCAGGTTAAAAATCAAAATACTGTATAGGATAATTATCTGTTGCATAGTATAGTTCAATCTTAATATACAATACTGAATGCTTTTAAGCATCAGAGAGTATTTAGCATATAATAGAAAGCTCCTGGATCCAAATTAAATGCATAATTAAAGCTTTAAAGATGCCCACAAGAATTACTCCAAATGAGTTATTTCATTTTCAGAGCATTCATCTGCTAACAGAAATTAAGAGATTTCTTATTCTCTATTTTCCAAATAAATCCCTTTAATAAACCAATATGAAAACAGATTCTGACCATTCGTATATTGAAACTAGGATTCAGGGATTCTTAGAAGCTGTCAAGAAGGTTGGGAGGATGTGATGTATCAGTGGTGGAGAACAGTAGGAGTTTCAAGCTAATGACTGGTAAATGCCTTTCACCACCTGTCAAATATCACAAAGAAAATTAAATTCCACCAGCTCCTCTACTAGACACTCTGGGTTTACATCTTCTAGCAAGTTTGGAAGCCATTCTCTCAGGCTTTAACCAATAAATTATCATTCTCGGTGCTGCATCGCTAAGCAATGATTCTGACAGCTTATCAGAGCTACCTCTTGAAAGACAGAAGTAGTGGGATGGTGTTATTTCTACCTCTAGAGACGCTGATAAACCTTTTACTATTTGAAAGTAGAATTGTGTTTACTTCCAAATCTAAAGGCTCATTTCTGATCAGATGTTACCATGAGGTCTTGTATTTCACTCGCAAAAAGTCTGCTCAGGCCCATGTGCCCTTTTTACAACACATGTGATTTAGAATGGAGCTCTAACCACTGGATACTGTAGCATTTCCAACACTAATTAAATGTATTTCTCTCATAAAAAGGTTGCCTTGAATAATTACTAGTGACCAGATGCTGCTCAGAATCATGCAGTGCCAAGAAAATGATTGCTAGAGCTTCCTTAACACTGGTCACCCATTTTGATGGCTCAGAATATGTTTTGTGCCCTATTGATGGAGACTATGAACACTCGAGAGAGATGGGCCAATAGTAAAAGTAGAAATGATTAAAATGAAAGGTGTGAAGACAGTTTTGCATCCTTTTATTTTTCAGTGGTGAATAACATCAGATTGACAGTCCTAGAAACAGAATTCTTTTGTTATCCTGAACTGCAAAGATAATCAGGAAGATTAATAATTGTTTCACAGCACCCCAAGAGATGAGAAATATTGTTATTCACATTTGAAAGAGGAACAAACACAGTCTCAGAGCAGTTAAGTGATTCTGCCAAGATCACACAGAAAGACAGAGATGGAGCTGAGAATAGAACCCAGAACTCTGACTGCCAGTCCTGTGCTATAACTATGCTCTGTCTCTGACAAAAGCATTTACTCTCCATGTACATTCAATCTCTGGCCTCTCTGATTATGTTGCCTAAACAAGTGCCAGTTTGTGGTAATTGTGAGGAGTTTTTCTGTGAGTTTGTTTTTATTAAATACCAATTACCAACACACACAAAAGGCTAGGTGGGAAGGGAGATAAGAATGCAGGGCAGTGTAGGCTCTCATAGTTGCGGGTAAGTCCAGCTATCATTTTGGAAGCTGTCCGAAGGGGTGGAGTGAATGCGGTACTGAGACATTCTGGGAAGTTGCAAGGAATGTGTGGGAGGAATTTGGGGAGGGCCTGGAAAGCAGTTGTGTATCAACTGCAGGGGGAACGAGCATGCATGTTTTCTGCCTGAAGCATAATTAGAGACTTCCAACATCTCTGTTTGCTCTTCCATCACTTTTATCATCTGCTCCAGGCCCTGCTCTCATTTCTGTTCTATTTTAAATTTTTCATTCAGTGTCTCTCTCCACTCCCTGCATTCTCTTTTTTCAGCCTCTGAGGAGTACTGCACCTCTCAGAACATGTCCTCCTTGCTCCACCTTGGTCACTTCCTTATCTGGCGGAGGCTCTCTGCTGGTGTGTAGGGGGTTCCCCTGAAGGTCACATCTGCAGAAGCATAAGAAACAATAAACAGAAGCATGATTGTTAATTCACGCACAGCATTGAATCGTTATAATAAACACTTTTTTCATATGAATCACTTTCTCACTGTCCCTTGGCAAGCACACATCTCAGCAAACACGGTCAAGATGGGGCAGAGGATCTAAGTGATTTCTTAAGGGGATCACTGCAGGTGACTAGCAACAATGTTGTAAATTCTGCCATTATTTTCCACAGGCTGGGGTCACTGAAGCCAATATCTCAATCCTGAGGGTAAGCAAGGATACAAGGGTGTATCTCCCTGCACGCATGCGGCTTCTGACCCAGTCCCTACGCTGCCCTTTGGGGGGAGGGATAGCTCAGTGGTTTGAGCATTGGCCTGCTAAACCCAAGGTTGTGAGTTCAATCCTTGAGGGGGCCATTTAGGGATCTGGGGCAAAAATTGGGGATTGGTCCTGAGCAGGGGGTTGGATTAGATGACCTCCTGAGGTCCCTTCCAACCCTGATATTCTATGATTCTCACCTGTTCCCTGCACAAGTGATTGCCGATTGGCATGGGTAAGTTTCCTACAATGGGGGAAGAAACAAAGCAGCTCTGTGAAGGAACCTTCGGTCGAGGATTGATGAGTACCTCCAGGAAAGTTTCATAGAGACCTCTCTGGAGGATTCCCTTGAAATCTCAGTGTGCATTAACACACTCTTCCACTGCATTGCTTAGCTGCACAAGGGAACGTGGAGCACATGCAAACACAGGTAGTCTTGTACATTTCTATCGCTTCACCCACTTCTAGAATATAAAGAGCAAAGAACAGCTCTATCTCATGTAACCAAGCAGAATCAACTCAAAAAGATCACTTACCAGGGCTCTCCTTTCCTGCATCATGCATGCCAGAGATGGACTGCTGGGACTGGCTAGACCTCTCCGGAGTGGAGGAGAGGTCCTGACTCGCCGCACCACCAGACGAACCTGCCGTGTGCTCCACATCATCCTCCAACTTGACCCACTAGTCCACAGCTTCGTCCTTGGGGTTGTGTCCACTGTCCCCAACCCCGCCAAAATATCCATGGGGCTCCATATCTCCAGTGGAGCTAGAGAAGTATTAGTACCATTAAACAAGGCACTGGTGAGACCTCATCTGGCCTACTGTGTGCAATTCTGGTCTCCCATGTTTAAGAAAGATGAATTCAAACTGGAGCAGGTGCAGAGAAAGGCTACTAGGAAGATCAGAAGAATGGAAAATCTATCTTACTAGAGGAGATTCAAAGAGCTTGGCTTGTTTAGCCTAACCAAATGGAGGCTGAGGGAAGATATGATTGCTCTCTATAAATACATCAGGGTATATATACCAGGGAGGGAGAGGAGTTATTTAAGTTAAGTACCAGTGTTGACACAGGAACAAATGGATATAAACTGGCCATCAACAAGTTTAGGCTTGAAATTAGATGATGGTTTCTAACCATCAGAGGAGTGAAGTCCCGGAACAGCCTTCCGAGGGGAGCAGTGGGGGCAAAAAACCTAACTAGCTTCAAGACTGAGCTTGATAAGTTTATGGAGAGGATGGTATGATGAGACTGCCTACAATGGCATGTAGCCGACCTGTGACTACTAGTAGCAAATATCCCCAATGGCTAATGATGAGACACTAGCTATGGAGGGCTGTGAGTTACTATAGAGAATTATTTCCTGGTGTCTGCCTGTTGGGTCCTGCTGAAATGCTCAGGGTCCAACTGATCGCCATATTCGCGGTTGAGAAGGAATTTTAACCTGAGTCAGATTGGCAGAGACCCTGAGGGTTTTTTGCCTTCCTCTGCAGCATGGGTCGTGGGTCACTTACAGGTTTGAACTAGCGTAAATGGTGGATTCTCTATAACTTGAAGTCTTTAAACTATGATTTGAGGACTTCATTAACTCTGCCAAAGGTTAGAGTCTATTACAGAAGTGAGTGGGTGAGATTCTGTGGCCTCCAGTGTGCTGGAGGTCAGACTATATGATCATGATGGACCCTTCTGGGCCTAAACTCTATCAGCAACAAATTACTACATCTAACTTGCCCAAACCAAGAGAGAAGAGAGGGAACTTTGTTTTCTAGATATATCTCTGAGACACTATGCCTCCCAGGACCACTGCTGGGGTAGTGCAGCTTACCCATCACCCCCTTGTTCAGTGTTGGGTCTAAAGGCATAGTCTAGCCTGGTGTTAATAACCCGCTGTGATTTGACATAAAATCTTGATGCATTTTAAAAAAATCCCTATGTGAGCCAGTTTAAAGCAGAACATGTTTTTCTGGTGTACGTACCAGCTGTAAACAAGCAATTTAAGGATAACTAAGAACAATTCAGAAATCAAAAGAGCTTCAGATGAGCATATCCCAAGAGTGAACACATTCAGCAGATGCAACTAAAAACCCAGTGTGGAAAATAATTTGTTTTTGTAACAAACCTCGAGCCTTCATTTTAGATGCTAAACCGGAACTGCAGCATCAGAAGCTATTCCAGTCACTAAAAATGATTAAGGTGTGAATCATGAGAGCATAACAATTTTTAATTACATTTGTCTTTGTGCGTCTCCTATTCCTGTGAATAATATCACTGCACAATTCTATGACAGAATGTCAGTGGAGATATGCTAAAGGAGAGCAAATGTAATGGGGCCTGTGCAGAAGATATTATTCAAGCCCAAAGAAAATTATACATCTTCACTCTTGCTGACAACCTAAACAATGCTGCATTTGAAACATAAATGATACACTGTTTAGCTGGAAAAGTCATTAGACACATGATGGAAAATGGAAGCAAGCTAACCATCTTCCTAGAACAAATGGTGCTGTGCTTTTTGCATAAGCAAGTTGATGTATTTTTAAGTTTACTTCCAGATTTTGCTCTTCAAAATGAAAAAAAAAATAGACTACTGAGGACTAAAATATCCGCATCGCCTGCAGTATGCTTGTTGACCTTCCCACTATTATACCTCTAACATGAGGAAGATAGATGGCTCCTGCCCTCCTTACTCAGGCAGAACTCCCAGTTATTTCTGACCTGGCTGAGTAGCAGTCAACACTCCAGCATCGTTGCTTCTTACTGCTTGCCCAGTTTCTAATCTAGCTCTTTTATCCCTCTCCTTGTGGTCATTTATTTCCTTTGAGTTTCTTGTAAGACTCCTTATCAAAAGTTTTTAGAAAATCAATTATGCCCCATTAGGTCACCTTTCTATTAACTCATTGTAAGTAATGTAGCAGGTTGGAAAGAGAGAGCGTTTTCCTTTAGGCTCAGATAGCCTGGCTTCTTTATCAGGATATACTTATCAGTTAGGATCATCCTTGCACTGCTCCTCCAGCCATTGGAGAAGTGAAGAGTACAATACATATAGCTGCATATATTAAAATTTGGATTCACTTTCTCTTTCACTAATCCCACCTTTATCAAAATAAATTATATTTTGAACCACCAGTCCTCAAAAAATTCTATACAGTCTTTGTTTCTTCATGACCAGATTACAAACCATTCTAGGCACTAACTGAATACACACACAGTTCAGCGAAGAGATTTGGAAAACAGAGTGTAAACAACATATTGGGCCAGATTCTCAGGACCAGCTGTGGGAAGGGGCAAAGTTAGCTTTAAGTAACTTTTGCATTGCCCCAGTCCTGGAGCATCCGTGTGCCAGCCAAATCCCCAGTACACGTTAGAATATCCTTTTGGCTACCCTATCTCGTGCAAGCTGCCAACAAAGGATTCTAGGTGGACTCCTCCTGAAGGTCGAAACAGCAGACTGGACTTCTACATAGAGTGCTTCCGCCGACGTGCACGGGCTGAAATTGTGGAAAAGCAGCATCATTTGCCCCATAACCTCAGCCGTGCGGAACACAATGCCATCCACAGCCTCAGAAACAACTCTGACATCATAATCAAAAAGGCTGACAAAGGAGGTGCTGTTGTCATCATGAATAGGTCAGAATATGAACAAGAGGCTGCTTGGCAGCTCTCCAACACCACTTTCTACAAGCCATTACCCTATGATCCCACTGAGAGTTACCAAAAGCAACTACAGCATTTGCTCAAGAAACTTCCTGAAAAAGCACAAGATCAAATCCGCACAGACACACCCCTGGAACCCTGACCTGGGATATTCTATCTACCAAGATCCATAAACCTGGAAATCCTGGGCACCCCATCATCTCAGGCATTGGCACCCTGACAGCAGGATTGTCTGGCTATGTAGACTCCCTCCTCAGGCCCTACGCTACCAGCACTCCCAGCTACCTTCGAGACACCACTGACTTCCTGAGGAAACTTCAGTCCATCGGTGATCTTCCTGATAACACCATCCTGGCCACTATGGATGTAGAAGCCCTCTACACCAACATTCCACACAAAGATGGACTACAAGCCGTCAAGAACACTATCCCTGATAATGTCACGGCTAACCTAGTGGCTGAACTTTGTGACTTTGTCCTTACCCATAACTATTTTACATTTGGGGACAATGTATACCTTCAGATCAGCGGCACTGCTATGGGTACCCGCATGGCCCCACAGTATGCCAACATTTTTATGGCTGATTTAGAACAACGCTTCCTCAGCTCTCGTCCGCTAAAGCCCCTACTCTACTTGCGCTATATTGATGACATCTTCATCATCTGGACCCATGGAAAAGAAGCCCTTGAGGAATTCCACCATGATTTCAACAATTTCCATCCCACCATCAACCTCAGCCTGGTCCAGTCCACACAAGAGATCCACTTCCTGGACACTACAGTGCTAATAAACAATGGTCACATAAACACCACCCTATACCGGAAACCTACTGACCGCTATTCCTACCTACATGCCTCCAGCTTTCACCCTGACCACACCACACGATCCATCGTCTACAGCCAAGCTCTGCGATACAAGCACATTTGCTCCAACCCCTCAGACAGAGACAAACACCTACAAGATCTCTATCAAGCTTTCTTACAACTACAGTACCCACCTGCAGAAGTGAAGAAACAGATTGATACAGCCAGAAGAGTTCCCAGAAGTCTCCTACTACAGGACAGGCCTAACAAAGAAAATAACAGAACGCCACTAGCCGTCACCTTCAGCCCCCAACTAAAACCCCTCCAACGCATTATTAAGGATCTACAACCTATCCTGAAGGATGACCCAACACTCTCACAAATCTTGGGAGACAGGCCAGTCCTTGCCTACAGACAGCCCCGCAACCTGAAGCAAATACTCACCAACAAGCACATATCACACAACAGAACCACTAGCCCAGGAACCTATCCTTGCAACAAAGCCCGTTGCCAACTGTGCCCACATATCTATTCAGGGGACACTATCACAGGGCCTAATAACATCAGCCACACTATCAGAGGCTCGTTCACCTGCACATCCACCAATGTGATATATGCCATCATGTGCCAGCAATGCCCCTCTGCCATTTACATTGGTCAAACTGGACAGTGTCTACGTAAAAGAATAAATGGACACAAATCAGATGTCAAGAATTATAACATTCATAAACCAGTCGGAGAACACTTCAATCTCTCTGGTCACGCAGTCACCGACATGAAGGTCACTATCTTACAACAAAAAAACTTCAAATCCAGACTCCAGCGAGAAACTGCTGAATTGGAATTCATTTGCAAATTGGAAACTATTAATTTAGGCTTAAATAGAGACTGGGAGTGGCTAAGTCATTATGCAAGGTAGCCTATTTCCCCTTGCTTTTTCCTACCACCCCCCCCCAGACGTTCTGGTTAAACTTGGATTTAAACTTGGAGAGTGGTCAGTTTGGATGAGCTATTGCCAGCAGGAGAGTGAGTTTATGTGTGTGTGTGTGTGTTCCCCCCCGGGGGGGGGGGTGAGAAAGCCTGGATCTGTGCTGGAAATGACCCACCTTGATTACCATGCACATTGTAGGGAGAGTGGTCACTTTGGATGAGCTATTACCAGCAGGAGAGTGAGTTTGTGTGTGTATGGGGGTGGGGGGGGTGAGAAAACCTGGATTTATGCTGGAAATGGCCCACCTTGATTATCATGCACATTGTAGGGAGAGTGGTCACTTTGGATAAGCTATTACCAGCAGGAGATTGAGTTTGTGT